CGAGCAATACTAATTATTTTTTAACAACATTTCTATTCATCCCTATTAAGTGAAAACATATATTCATGTTCTACATGAAATTTCTCAAATGAAGAGAAATCATATATTCATGTATAATATTTTATAATTTGTTTTAAGTTCATATTAAATTATTTTTTGTAGATAATTTTGGTTGAGCAAGCTAAATTGAGGTCATAAATTGTATGCTAATAAGTTTATTTTTCATATTTACAATTATCGTCGAGAATTATATGTCAAAGTTTTCAAAATGACTTAAGCAAGATTTTTGACGAACTTTGACTTCATACCTTATGATGAGACACAAGTTACCTTAAAAAATGACATGTGTAAAGGTTAAAGAAATATTTGTTGAGAATATACAATAAACATAACGTTTCAACAATCACTAACTTAGGAATTGATCAAATAAAGGTTGAAAATTTTCATTTAGCAGTTGAATATCTATTAGAATTTAGACAAATCAAAATTCAAGTATTGATGCAATAAATAAACATCAGTTTGTTGGTTGAGATATCTAAACAAAAAACTTTTATAGTTACAAGAATCTAAATCAAGGTATTGGGTTTAACCAAAAAATCTCTAATAAGGATGACTTTAATAATGCAATTGTAATAAGTCATTTAGTTATATGGTGTGAGTCTATAACTCCATGAAAACTTTTTTCAATAATAAAACTTTTTCAATATCAAAGTCCAAGAATTGAAATGTATGTGATGTTCACAATGTTTGTATAAATTCTTAAAATTTATAAAAAAAAAATCAAAAACTTGTAAAGCATCATTATAAAAATTTTATTATTGATCTATTTATGAAGCAATCTCTCTTTTCTTTTAATATTTATACTTACTTTTACTAAAAATTAATAATAAGTTACATCTTCATGTAAACAAAAACACGCATATATAACAATATTTTGTCAATTAAAAAAAAATATAAAGATGGAAACAGAGAATTACATATATCGCATTTGTTTAAACAAAAAAATATATATGTTTTAAATCTTATCAAGTAAATTATATACTCATTTTAACCAAAACTTAACAATAAGTTACATTTTGATAAAAATTTAAAGATGTGCACATAAATAATAATATATTTGTCTATTAAATAAAATATAACTATAGAAAAAGAGAACAAGCGTTTGACAATCGATCAACTTTGAAAAACAAACTATATGACTTTATATATTGAACACTCTCTTCTTTATAATATATATGTCTACCAAATAGATTAATTTTTATATAGCAAAAGATCTGAATATAAACTTGATCGAGCAATACTAATTATTTTTTAACAACATTTCTATTCATCCCTATTAAGTGAAAACATATATTCATGTTCTACATGAAATTTCTCAAATGAAGAGAAATCATATATTCATGTATAATATTTTATAATTTGTTTTAAGTTCATATTAAATTATTTTTTGTAGATAATTTTGGTTGAGCAAGCTAAATTGAGGTCATAAATTGTATGCTAATAAGTTTATTTTTCATATTTACAATTATCGTCGAGGATTATATGTCAAAGTTTTCAAAATGACTTAAGCAAGATTTTTGACGAACTTTGACTTCATACCTTATGATGAGACACAAGTTACCTTAAAAAATGACATGTGTAAAGGTTAAAGAAATATTTGTTGAGAATATACAATAAACATAACGTTTCAACAATCACTAACTTAGGAATTGATCAAATAAAGGTTGAAAATTTTCATTTAGCAGTTGAATATCTATTAGAATTTATTGATGCAATAAATAAACATCAGTTTGTTGGTTGAGATATCTAAACAAAAAACTTTTATAGTTACAAGAATCTAAATCAAGGTATTGGGTTTAACCAAAAAATCTCTAATAAGGATGACTTTAATAATGCAATTGTAATAAGTCATTTAGTTATATGGTGTGAGTCTATAACTCCATGGAAACTTTTTTCAATAATAAAACTTTTTCAATATCAAAGTCCAAGAATTGAAATGTATGTGATGTTCACAATGTTTGTATAAATTCTTAAAATTTATAAAAAAAAATCAAAAACTTGTAAAGCATCATTATCATTACTTAATATTATAGGAATTTAAAACTAAATTATTGTCACATCATCGCATGGCTACCTCTCACCCTTCCACCGTAGACAAGTTTTGATTCTTGCTTATGTACATTTTTTTTACTCTTTAAATTGCCATCATTATCAATAAAATGTAAATTAAGTTTATAACAAGGAATTCAACATTTTGGTTGCTCCTATACCTTTTCTCATACAAATCTTTCTATAAAAATAAATCTCGACATTGAAAATAAAGAAATTGGATCAAGCCCCATAAAAACAAATACACCTCTTTCTTATTTGCTCAAAATGTTGAGATTTCTAGCATTTCTCTTCTATACTTTTTTTTAAATAGATATAGGAAAGGAAATAGTAAGGCATATGGACTTTTTCCTCTTTGTAAGAGAATATGAGGGTGGAGTTACATGATGCAATGATTAGATGGGAAACAATTGAGTAACTGTAACATATATATGTTTGACACTTTGACTATCGACAGAAAAAAAGTTCATCCTATCATTGCGAAGATGAATCAAACGAATCCGAGGACATTGCTCCCTCTTCCCCCTTGATCTCCAGCTAACAACTAGTCTCTTTTTCCTAGAGATATATGGTTGTTTGCGGTTGACTGGCCAGGTTAAAATATTATTTACAATTGTTTCTTAATTTCTTCCAAATGACAAAGGTGGATGGTAAATTTCCCTACTCAAATCAACGGATGTATTTCTTCTTCGTTTTTCAAGTAGTTGTTTTATTGTTCTCTATTATGTCATATACTTTTATGTAAACATGTAATAGATAATTGGAAGGGTTTATTGCTTGGACTTAGAGTAACGCTCCTTTGGTTGAATAATTGATAGTTTTACTTTCCTATTGCAACCCGGTTCCATGGATGATAAAACAGAAAGAAGAGTTGTTAGGGTTGTTTATTATTTTCATGAGTGGCATGCTACTAGCTATATGGTTATGATATGTTCAGTAAGTAAAATATAGCAGAGGGTTATAAGTAGAAGGGAACACATGTGGGGTTTTATAAAGGTGCGAAGAAGAAAGAAAATGGTGATGGTGGTCTCTAAGTTTTCTATGTCGACGTTCTTTCAATTTCTACACGTTTTCAATGATATCTGTTCGTTTTCTTAGCGCGAATTTTGGCCTAATTGAATCCCTAAGTTAAGCTAGATTTTGGCCTGATCGTTTTCTTAACAACAACTATTTCGATTGATGCATCAATCGTGTTCATGAATAAGGACTCTGCAAGATACAATGAGTTGAGTTTTATTGAAATAGAAGGGAACACATGTGGGGTTTTATAAAGGTGCGAAGAAGAAAGAAAATGGTGATGGTGGTCTCTAAGTTTTCTATGTCGACGTTCTTTCAATTTCTACACGTTTTCAATGATATATGTTCGTTTTCTTAGCGCGAATTTTGGCCTAATTGAATCCCTAAGTAAAGCTTGATTTTGGCCTGATCGTTTTCTTAACAACAACTATTTGGATTGATGCATCAATCGTGTTCATGAATGAGGACTCTGCAAGATACAATGAGTTGAGTTTTATTGAAGTATGCAGCTTTTACAATTTATCTATGTTGTTATTAGGTAAAAAAAATACACCATTGTTTTTTGTAGAGGGTATGTAACTCTCTACAAAATATAAATTGTGTTTATATGCAGTGTAATTTGTTGAAAAACATTGTTTTGATAAATTAGTGACAACTAACAGTTTTGTTTTTGGTTGTTTTTGCTAGAGCATTTTAAGATAAATTAAACAAAAAAGTAGAAAATTGATGATGTGGATGCCAATGTGTATCCTCATTCTTCCAAAATTGCACAAGTAACTCATAGTTCATGATGTTCGTGGGATTTAGAGTGTGACATTATGTATTATCATATACCAACATATGAGAAGAGAGAAAAAAAGAAAAGCTCTTTGCTTATTTTTTAGTACTTGAAACATATTTGCTTAATTAATTTTTTTTAACTTATTTGTCGCTATTGTGTGCTAAAAACTTAATAATCTATTATGTTTATATCCAAAAATTTTGGGTCCGATACAAACTTATAAATCAATAAAGAAAGGTGTATCGAGAGCGCATTTAATAAAATTTTATTTTCATAAAGAATCGAAAGATATAAAAGTCCATAAAAATATCTAAAATCAAGTAAGTGGGATTAAAAATTCAATGTATAATAATTTAACATACATGAATCATAAAAAAACATTAGGAAAAAATAATAAACACAACTACGAATGCGTCGCCCAACGAACGGGTAAGAAAACTAGTAAACCATTAAGCGTATTCTGGTAGCCGATGCTCATAGTAACAGTCAACACGAATCACATGTATGTAACCCGAACCACAACGATTAGGGGGTGGCTATACGGTCCGGTTAAATTGGACCAAATGATCCGGTCCCAGTCCAGTCTTTTTGTGAATATAAGGACCAAAGATTGGATTGGATACAGTCCGATCTTGATTCGGTCCGGTCCCAATATGATCTTGATTTTAGGTGTTGGGGGTCTCTTATCCGGTATTTATCTGGTTTTTTACCTCAAATCTAAGCCCGAATATGAGATTGTATTGTTTGCTATCCCGTCCCGGTCCGGGTTATAAGGTCCGGTTTCGGATAAAACCAAACAGTCCGGACCAAATAGCCAGCCCTAACAACGATGGCGGGGTCTGTTAGCCAACATTTGCAACCTCTGCGTATCGGTATGTTTAATCAACTGGCCCTTTGTCAAGCATGGGTGTCTTATTTGTTGGGTGGGCTTCGGCCTTCGGGTAGCTGGGCTCGTAGTGGGCTGCAACGGGGTTTATCACCACATTGGTGCAGGACGGACCGTTGATCAGGCGTGGAAGATGCCGTCACGTGAGTCACCAATCCCAATATACTACTTTAAATCTCATCCACTTCTCCAATCGGAATCTCAACGGCATATACATCACTTTCATCCCCCATCCTATCCTCTCCCTCTCTTACCCCAAAACGAAACGATATATAACTAACGGCCCAACAAACGCCGTCCGTTCCCTTTGCCAAAAGCCGTCAAACATTTCCCCGTCCGGCGTTATCATCTGCCACGTATCACAAACTTCGGCAATATATATTCCCCCCTCTCCCCCACTTCATCACTCGATCACACACTACTAGTTTTCTCATTTTCACCGTCGCCGATCTCTCAACCAAACAGCTCCCCGCTTCTTCCTCTTCATCTCCATCAATGGCGAAGGATCCCGTCCGCGTTCTCGTCACCGGAGCTGCAGGTACGAATAGAAATCTGCACCTGATCTGAAACCCTTGTAATTGAACGAGATGATCCGTCTTGAGCTTATATGCATACAGTTTGCAGCCAGATCTGTAGATCGGCTTTCGTTTGATCTGGTTGTTTGGTCTAGTAAGCGCTTTCAGTTGTAGTCAACTCGAACGAACTGGTGGTCTCTGTGTAGTATAGTTGATGATCCGACTGAATTTAAGTTTCTGATCTCTGTGGCTGACTGTTGCTTCTTCTGTTTGAGTGGATTGTTGACTTGGAGTATTGCATATGCTCGATTTGTTTCTGGTCACTGAAGTTGAGAGTAGCTATTAGTGTTGATGGTGTCTCTGTACTGTGGATCGGACGCTTGAGGGTTTAGGCCGTTGAGATCTGATTTTTGGATAGGAAGTTGTAAGATCTGTGTGTTGGAATGTGATGCGGATGGTGTGTTTTTGGGATATGCAGGTCAAATTGGGTATGCTCTTGTTCCCATGATCGCTAGGGGAGTGATGCTTGGCACCGACCAGCCGGTGATCCTCCACATGCTTGATATCCCACCGGCAGCTGAGGCACTGAATGGTGTCAAGATGGAGCTGGTTGATGCTGCCTTCCCACTTCTTAAAGGTATACTTTCAGTTCTCGACTCCTGCCTGGACTTCTGTGATTGAATCTCTAATGATATTGTATGTATATAGAGATATGAGATCTAACTGGGATGTGATTTTCAGGTGTTGTTGCTACAACTGATGTTGTGGAGGCCTGCACCGGAGTCAACATTGCAGTCATGGTTGGTGGTTTCCCCAGGAAGGAAGGTATGGAGAGGAAGGATGTGATGACCAAGAACGTCTCCATTTACAAGTCCCAGGCTTCTGCCCTTGAGAAGCATGCTGCTGCTGGCTGCAAGGTGGGCGATTATATTATGTTATCAATGGTTTTTGTTGTTGGTGGGAAGTGTGTGATAGATATATTCAGCAAGATGTGGAAACCCAACTGACCGTTGGTTTGGCTGCTTGTCTGTTCGATGCAGGTTCTGGTTGTTGCTAACCCAGCAAACACTAATGCTTTGATCCTGAAGGAATTCGCACCATCTATCCCTGAGAAGAACATTACTTGCTTGACTAGGCTGGACCATAACAGGGCACTTGGTCAGATCTCGGAGAGACTGAGTGTTCCAGTTTGTGATGTGAAGAATGTGATCATTTGGGGGAATCACTCATCTAGTCAGTATCCTGATGTCAACCATGCTACTGTTGCCACTCCATCTGGTGATAAGCCTGTCCGAGAGCTTGTCAAGGATGATGTGTGGTAATTCTCACCTCCTCTTCTTTGTTCATTGTTGCTTTTTTCTTGTATGTTAAAGAGCTAGCTCTTGATGATTAGTGGTTTTTTTTGGTTGAAGGCTGAATGCTGAGTTCATCACCACTGTCCAACAACGTGGTGCTGCAATCATCAAGGCTAGGAAGCTCTCGAGTGCTCTATCTGCTGCCAGCTCAGCTTGTGACCACATCCGTGACTGGGTTCTTGGAACCACTGAGGTTTGACAAATGCTTTAATTGATCTCATCGTTGATAGGATTCCCTGTTGAATCATAGTTTTGGTTTCCTAAATCCTGCTTGGACGTGCCTGCAGGGTACGTGGGTTTCCATGGGTGTGTACTCTGATGGTTCATACAATGTCCCTGCTGGGCTCATCTATTCCTTCCCTGTTACATGTCAGAATGGGGAATGGAAGATTGTGCAGGGTAAGCTTCCCTTCTTTTCTTATCAAAGGTTATAGGTTGTGTGAAGATTGTATGACTAAAATGATGAGCTTTAATTGGTATGGTTGGAAATGTGACGTTAGAAGTGTATTTGATTGGAAGGTTGGCTTGATCAACTGGACCTGGTTCAATTCATATTGATCCATCCATATATATATCAAACTTGTGTGACACTTTAGGGAGACACTGTATGGTCAAATTTGCAATTTCTTTCTGTTCCTGCCATGAGTGATAACTAATAATAAGTGCTTTTTGCCATACTCAGGACTTCCAATTGACGAATTCTCGAGGAAGAAGCTGGATCTGACCGCAGAGGAGTTGAGCGAGGAGAAGGCACTGGCTTACTCTTGCCTTAATTAGGTGCTGTGCGTGAGTGCAGCTGCGATGCCCCCTCCCCCATTTTAAGTTTCTCTACAACTGCAGGGGCATGGCTACTATTTTTGAATAAAAAGCCTCTTTCTCGTGGTGTTAATGAATGCAAAGCCCGGGGATCCTGTGATCTGCTTTAGACGTTTGCTTGAGGGATGGTGCTCTTTCATGTGTGATGAGGATATCTTAGATTTATAAGTGAAGATTTGAGACTATGCAGAAACTGTTGTATTCAGAATTTTGATTTGGCAGATTATAATCTTCAACTGCTCCAACTAGTGTCCTGTTTTAGCCGAGTCCGGTTATTTTGTGTGTGTTTGATTTAACTAGGGCATCCAGATTTCCATGTTCGTTCACTAGGCCTCCAGATAAGGGCAGGTTGTGTGTATGCATGACAAAGGTCGCCCTCTTCATGGTGGATCAAATTCTCTGGGCTCCTTGGCCCAATACGAATTTTGCAAATGGTAGGACTCATTGGTCAAAATGCATGCTAGGGGTTTATGGATGCTTGGCCCAATACGAATTCTGCCCTGGTTCATTTGTCCAAATGCATGATAGGTCCGCTAGGTTGGGTTCTCTTGCATATTGATATTGCAGTCAGTATTTTACCGAATTCTGTTGGAGGATGCCCCAACTGGATTGACTTTGGATTTCAAAAAAGTCTGACCCAGTTCGACCCATTGACATTCCTGTGGAGGTTTCAATATCAACGGGAATCACACAAGACTTCATGTAGAGCTCTTATTTGACGATGATGCAAAACATTGCCTACCTCTCTCTTCATATTCATAGAGGTCTAGCCTCAGCCATACCAATCTTGGGTAGGGCAACTTGGCTAAGCACATTGAGCAGGCAATAATCTCGACCCGAGGGCCATATTCCAAGTGAGAATAGTGTTTTTACTCGTGTCGACATTCACTCTGAAGGGCGTTGTTCGACACACCAGTATATAGAGAAACAACACCAGGTTGATTGAATTTGAAGGGCAAGCTCTAGTCCACCTCTTGTTTTTGGACATCTCTAGGGCCACGGCTCCAATTGAAGATAATACCATACCGCACACGCAGGCAAGATGGGGAAAGTGCATATTTGATGACAGCTAGACCAGATTCTGATGGACTTTGTTTGGGCATTTCGCTGGCCGACTAACAAAATGTTTGTCTCTGTCCGCCATGTTGGTTGCGAATTGCGATGTAGATATGAACGAACCAATTGCATGGCTGGCAGCATTGATGCTAATCGTTTGGTTTGGCTAATTGGCTGGCTGGTTTCCTCGAAATTAACTTGCGAGGCTGTCTCCATCGCATGCTGCGCGGAGGACAATGTATATTTATGCCGAAATAGTACCAACTTGACCAATTGCCGACAACTTACGTGTGGGTATGAAACTGAAATACCACGTGCTTTGCCTTTCTAGCTGCGACCCCTGCTGAAAGCTCAGTCTCATTTTCCTCAACCAAGAAATTAAAAGCTGCACACTGTGCACAGCACAGGCCCACGTTTTTATAATCATTAATCTTGTCGCCCCATTTCCATGCGGTGAAACGGGTAATGCATGTCGAATTGGCGATAAAACCATATCGGACTATGGCCTTGGGAGTAGGAATGAAAATGGGTAGGTTGGGGCGGGTATCTTAATACCCATACTCGTTCTGCAGCAGGTTAGGTTTAGGTTGGATAATTTATTATGGAGTGCGGGTTGTGTTAGAAACCGAACAGAAAAATTAGGGTTACCGATCTGGCTGAGTCGCGGATTAGGTCGCTCTCTTTAAGACGTTCGCGGCACTGCCTTCATTGCGTACGGCAGACTATCAGTCGGTCGCCACCAGGATAAAACAGCCACTCTTATTTTGTTGCTCATCGATTTTGTGCGAAAACCGGAGCTCTATGAACTCACTCTCTATCTCGTGTTTCTCCTCTCTGAGGTGTGTTTAGAGGGTTTGGGGCATCTCCTATTTATAGGAGCAGAAAACCCAGAATATTCCCTCTTTCTTTGGGAATAAGTCATAATTAATTAGGGAGATAATTACTCCCATAATTAAAATATATTATATTAGGATAATTAATTCTAATTATCTCCATAATATTCTTTTTATTAATTATCCTTCTATTTTCTTATATAGAAAGAATACTGGATAATTAATTCAATATAGCTTTCAAAGCTATTCATTCCCAACAATCCCCCACTTGAATAGTTTTGAAACTATCTCTGAGCATCAACAGATCCATAAGATCGGGCATAAGCTAAGGTATCGCGAAGATTTGAACCTTAGCGTAGTGGTTACACTTCCGATTTCATAAGGGTGACTCGTAGTCTTGAACCCTATCTCAGACAATGTAGCACACCGGATCTTTTCATTGAGTGATATTCTCTCATAGGCCGTGCGTTTATGGCCATGCACGTTATCCAGGTTTAGTGAACGCTCTAGCAACTTTGTGCCTCCAAAGTTCCATAGAGAGCGGCCCCACTCCCACATTCACATAGGTGAGTCTATCAGAAGTACCCCCAAAGTAAAGTACTTCACTCCACATAGAGTATAGATCTCATTAAGAGTTTAACTCAACCTCCAAGGCTTTGGGATTCATGCTTCACTATGCATGAACTTTTCTCAATATTACTCATGACTTGTTATTACCCATTGTACCCGTTTCTTGGGATCTCCAGTCTATCGGGTCGGGTTACCATCACTTGTAATCCATGGTTCGGTAGGCATAAGTCTCATACCCTTCGTGGTATTTTAGAATTTCTCTCTAGCTAGTCCTTTCGTCAAAGGACCAACTAGATTCTTTTATAATCTCAAGTTCATCCTTTCGTCAAAGAATAAACTAGATTCTCTTTTAAGTGATCCACCCTTACTGCTCCAACAGTTAGGGACTCTCTCTTCCAGTACTGTTCTCATGACGAACTTGTCGCCTCTCACCATTTGTTACGGTTCTATTTAGCAATTGCTATCGCAATGGATCAATACCGGCGGATACGGTCTTTCCCATAAGGGAATTTCTAGTAATGACCCTCTCAATCAACTTTCTTCTTTACTAGCCATTGCTAGTTCTATCATATCTGATTCTATAGTTGATTGAGCCAAGATCGTTTACTTCTTTTTCTTAGACTTCCAAGACACAACTTCTCTATCGATGTTTAAAACACATCCTCTTGTTGTCTTGGAGTCCTCTATAGGGTATTCTAATCCGCATCACTATACCCTACCAATACAGCAAAACCTTTGATAACAAATACCAAGGTTTCTCTGTTCTTTTAAGGTGTCTCATGACCCCTTTCAATAGCATTTCAATGCTTCATACTAGGACAATCAGTAAGCCTGCCAAGCACCCCCACTATGTCGGGTCTCTTGTTTATCAGCTGCCTCTCGCAGACTGTCGATGCTAGTATGTTCTTACTTTCTTACACCGTCTTTGGTGCTCTTAAAAATTATACTAGCACCATCAAACATTTATGCAGGTGTAGAACTCGTATTTCCTCTAGATCTAACTGTTTAGTTAAACTGATCTAGATGAAATCTCTTTCATTGTCCTAGTAATCTGGATCTCCGAGCATAACACTTGCTTCATCCAGATCTTTTTACCTTCATAATTCTCAACCAACATGGTTTTTCATCATATTGACATCACGAGTCTTTGTACCAAAGATCGAAGTGTCATTCATAATGCAAGTGTCATTCTCAAATTTGTACTAAATGCACTTGTCACTTTCATTTTAAAACCATGAGAGAGAACCAGTTTATTCATGCCATCGTCTTAGAGTCTATTTCAAATCTTACAATGATTTGTCTAACTATAGACTCCCTAAGCATGTTCAGGAATAACAACCCTATAGGTTGTCCCATGTAGATTTTCCTATCTAAATCACCATTCACAGAAACATGTTTAACAATCCATCTGACGCACAACACTAGCAATAGAACATACATGGATGTTATTCTACATATGGTGAATAGATAACAAGAAAATTTACAATTTTTCCTTTTCGCTTAAAGCCTTAGCTATTAGGCGATCCTTATACTCATAAACTAAACCAATAGGTTTCACTTTTCTTTTAAGAATCCATTTATTACCCATGACTTCATTGCCAAGAGGTAATTCTCAAAGATGCCAAATCTTGTTCGGTTCCACCGATATATTACCCAAGGTTTGACAACCAAGAGGTAAATCTACAAGATTCTAAGTCTTGCTTGACTCCACAAATTCCATTTCGTTAACAATGGATTCTCCCACAAGTCTACATCTGTATGGAAGTTCGAACTTCTAGCAGACTTGCAGGATCTCTTCTTAGGGTGTGAATAACAAATTCATAACCAAAATCCTTTCGTGATTTATGGTTTATTTGTCTCTTCTGAGTTCATACTCAGATTCATCACCCCCACTAGTTATCCATTATTTCTAATAGTAGGCAGGATATCTCCCCCACTATTTCTTAATATAAATGGAATCTATTGGCATCAATGGTTTTCACAACATTAAGTACTCAAGTTATGAGGCTTATGTGTTTTTCTATAGCATATCCAATAAACACACGATCATATGCTCTTCTAGTTATCATGTTACACTAATTATCTAATGCTACCACATGCATGCCACATATCGAATAATTAGTGCAACCATAATGCAATTAGGCATTTCAAACCATTTCAAATAACTAGTCAGACAATCAGAGCACTCTAAAGAGCAATAATTTGTTTATTGTCTTTTCCATCAAGTTTACCCACATAAATCAGATCTATTTATTCTGATTCTCTAATCACATATTTATGGGTCATTTAGCTTGGATATAGAAAATTCATATTTTTCTCAAGCATCCAATAATAATATGGGAATGCGATATAAGATATTCTAATTCTTCACACTTGGAAGAATGTATCTTATCTACTTAACCATTCCTTACATCTAGGATAGTCAATGACTTTCTAGAGGCAGGATTCTCTTCCACTTTTCCAGAACCATCAACAATAGTGGTGAGGGTCTTGCCCAACAACACTTTCTCCTTCAACACGCGTCAATGTATGATTGAGCTTAGCTCGTTTATCACACACATATCTTGAAGCTGTCATATCCAACAACCATTCTTCAGAGTTACCATTAAGGCTAACCTCTGTCATCACCTCAGTGAATATTATTGCCAAATCCTCTTCTTTAGTCAAGTTAACACTAGGTTAAACTTGTTCTTACACTTTCGTGTCTTATGACCTAGTTTCTCACAGAGAAACATAACGTCATTCTTAGAGGATTGGGTGACAATCTTATGGTTACCACAAAGGGTACCATTCTATTTGGTATGGATCTGGTTCGGCTTACTGCTCTCATTCTTGAAACTTTAACGTTTCAGAGCAGCCTAAGTGGTTCGTGTAGTACTAATAATAGTACTTCTTACAATATCGTTATTATGGGCAATAAACCCATTCTATTCTCATATATTCTTCAACGCACACATTTAGGCAAAATCATACTTTTCATAGCATGTATTCAAAATTGTACTCTAATTATTGAGAAAAGCACATCTCAATACATTCATGCGTCAATTCTAGTTTGCTTATTAGCATTCACAAAATTTCTCAAGTTCATACATAGAACTATATGACAGATTCTATTTTTGTCATTCACTACTAGCATATGAGGAAAGTTTTAGTTCTTACCTCTTATCAAGAAATCATTGCATTCTGGT